TACCCATGGAGTGGACTGCTAATTGCAGTCAACTTGCACACTTGCCCTCCAGCGGGGAAGCTGTAGGAAGGGTCGCTTCCTTATCTAGCTGGACTGGGGTGGAAAGAGGTTGTGTCAAGTGTAATAAGATAGACTATAAGAGTGTAATATTCCATAATTGGGCCCCTTAACAGCAATCTAAACCAATTCAGGAGTTTTGGAACCCTACGCAATTAAAGGGAATCAGGTTGAGGCAAATGTAAGTCTTTGCTATAAGAAAGCCAGAGCTCAGTGTCTAGGTGATGGTCCCTGACGTTTCTAGACGTCAGCAGATACAGGCCAGAGGCCGGAGGGTAAGGGATGGGAAGAAACCTGGGTGCAAATGTGTCTGAAGGGTACAGTCTGAAAGAAAACAGTAGACTGATAAACCATTCCCAAAATGCTGCAAGAGAGGTCTCTGATGTTATTAAAGAACCATTTCATCAGAATAAAAGAGGAAGTGGTCCTGTTCCCTTCTGGGCAAGTTAGGCCTCCCCTGGACTACTGGGGACAAATATGGTCCTCAACCTTTGTGCTGTCAGCATGCTGTCACTACGACAAAGTACCTGACATATAAAACTTAAAGAAAGATTCATTTGGTCTGGTTTCAGTCCATGGTTATAGGGCTCTATCTTTTTTTTTTTTTTTCTTTTTGAGACGGGGTCTCACTATGCATTCAGGCTGGCCCTGAGCTCACTTTGTAGCCCAAGCTGGCCTCAAACGCACAGCGATCCTCCTGCCTCAGCCTCCCGAGTGCTGGGATTACAGGCATGAGTCACCTGCCCAGTTTAGGGCTCTATCTTTTTAGGCCATCAGTGAAGCAGACATGGTGGCAGGAGTGTTGTGGAGGAAAAGACATGGTGGTCCAGGGTATGGCAGCAGGAAGCCACGAGGGTGAGAGAGCCAGAGGTTGGGCTGGAACCAGACATGGTCCTCAAGGTCACATCTCGTGACCCACTCCCTCTGCTAGTCCTCACCGCCTGTTTCCAGGTGGGCCTCTCTCCTCAGCCTCCCCAACAGCTGGGAATACAGCTGTGGGCCACCAGGCCTAGCGCAATGAGCAATTTTTTACTCTTGGTGAGTCACATGTGGCCATATGGCAAAGCCACCAAAGGAGAGCTTCTGTGAGTGAGGAATAGGTGCTCCTCAGAGCGGGGAGCTTTGAGAGTTTGACCCTCCTGCTTAGAGCTGGGAAGAGTGAGCCACCTGGGGCGCCTCTGCCTCCAGGTGTGGATCCTCCGATGTGGCAAAGCCACTTGTTGGACTGGAGCATTGTTGGCATTTTATTTAATTGTTTATCAGTGTTTGGGCATGAACTCAGTACCTTGCATATGCTAGGCTAGTGCTGGGCGTCTGAGCCACTCCCCTGTCCCTTGGATCTGAATTTTTCTTACTGTCAAATTATATGAATTGTCATGGGCCAGGCTACCTTTTCCTTGAAAAAACAATTAAAAAAATTTTGGTCTACGGATGTAGTTTTTCTACATGAATATACCTCCAGTGTTGTTTATCAAAACTGTCCCCCTTCTCTGAAATGTAGTTTGGAATATGTAAGATTTAGAAGAGAAAGATTTTGGTTTCCTGAGAATTATGTGTCTTTCTCTGAGTGTATCCAAAGATTGATGGAGATGTGGCTGGTTTGTCTTGTGCACACATCCGACACGCTTCCCACCAGGAAGTAACCACCGATGCTGCCTTCTGGGCATCTTTTTAGAGAAGACATGTCATGTGTCCCAAGGAGAGTGTCAGCGCTCAACAGCTGGGAGAGGATGGGACAGCTCCAGTCATCAGGATGCAGCGGTCCAGGTGGTCAGTCAGGACTCTACGTGGTACAGACAGACAGACAACATCGTGAGCAAGACTCCAGTATATCTTCCCTCCTGCAAGGGAGGCAGAAGTGTTCCTTTTGAAAAGAACAGTAGCTATGTAGGATCAGCAGAATCTGCAGGACGCTGAACACACACGTCTGTGTGGTTTTATTAATTCAAAGAAAGCAAATTACAGTGGTTGTAGAAGACTCCAGGTTTCTCACTGGGAGAAAAAGGACAGAGGGTGAGTGCAGAGCAAGCCCTGGCAGCTTCTGGCTCTGTGTCCCACGCGGTTTTGCTCTGTCCTCACCCAGCCAGAAGTGCATCTTAGAATTACGTGCTGAGATTTTTGCTGCCTAAAAACCCCCAGAGGCTGGAAGCACACAGCACTCTTCTGTTAACCTAATAAGTTGAGCAGGGAAGGGCTTTCTGGCAATTCTGAGTTCTTTAAACTTATAGCACAAAACAACACAGAAAAAGCTAAATAACATTTCACCATTTTGAGAGCAGACAATCAGGAGCTGAGCATGGTGACACATGGTTGTAATCCCAGCACTCTGGGAGGCTGAGGCAGGAAGATCACAACTTTTTGAGCCCAGCCTCGTCAATTTAGTGACTTAGTGAGATTGTCTCAAATAAAAAATAAAAAAAGTGTGAGAGATACAGCTCAGAGAAAAGGCCTGGTGTTCAGTCCCCAGTACCGAACGAAGCAAACCAAGCCAAACCAAAGAACCCAGACAACAAAACAAAAACACCAAAAATGAAACCAAAAACAAACAATTTTTTAAAAACCTAACAGAAAAACAAAAGCTAGACTACATAAGTGTTGTAGTCAGGGGTTGTGCAGAGAACAATTAGAATCAGGACATGGAGTTTATAATATTATTTTTATAATGGTCACTGAGAGTTAATACAAAAAAATGCAGGAAATCTATCCGTAACACCAAAGACATGGAATAATTAGTCAATGGACCTAAATCCCACAGCAGTGTCTCACATAAGTCCTGATGAAGACTCAGAGCTCATGACAATGCCTCCCACGAGTCCAACTGGAGGTCCAGAGCCCACAAGAAGGACTCACGCCAGTCTCTTTTACGGATCCGTGCTGGGAAAGCCAAAGGTCAGCAGTGGAAGCCAGAGAGTCTATGCCAGCCAGGTGAAGAAGCTATGTTAGTGGGATGAGGGTTCTATGCTGGAGCCGAGAAGTCACACTCGCAACAAAGACCAGGGCTGTCCTGAAAGGCACCACAGCTGTCCTCAGCAACACGTAGGCCTCAAGCTCCTCCTCAAGCTCCTCCTCTGACAAGCACAGTCGGGTACATGCCGACTGTGTGGGGAGGAAATCAGTGTGGGGAGTTCATCCTGGAGACCAAGCGGCACACATCTTCCCCTCGGAAGCCAGGAAGCAGTGCTCAATGTGAGCTTCTCCAGGAGAACCAACGGCTCAAACAGCAACTCGCAGAACCCACAGTGCCTCCATGCGACAACACATTAACACCTTCCTTCTCCTTCTCCACCTCTTTATTTATGCTGGCAACTTTCCTCGGTGGAGCATCTACGCTCAGTGAAATGCTGATATAATCTAGCTGGCATTCAGTTGACCACCAGTTCTCAGTCCATAACAATAAGGGATGATACAGGAGTGAACCTTTCTGGCCTAATTTCAGCCAGATTTGAGAACATAGTTTCAGGAGAGGTAAAAGTAGGAGGATGCTGGAAATCGCCCCTCGGAGCTCTTCAGGACAGACTTTTGTTTCAGTTTGGGGGAGGTGAAGCAGACCAGACATCAGGAGTTGGGGTGTTTCTGTTACTTTGTCTCAGGCTTGAGGACAACTGATGTCCTTTTTGCCTGGCTCTCCCTCACTCAGGCTGGCCTTGGGTCTGTGTCCAGTCCCTGGTGCTGGGAGGACCTCGTCCTGGCTCTTGCACAATCAAGACACCAGAACAGGGCCTGCGGCATCCCCAGTGCTGGCTTTTGTGCTTTCCTGCCTACTTGTGCTGACGGTGTTTTTCAGGACAGGGCTGCATGTTGCCCATCATTAGTGCCTACTACAAGCCTGTCCTAAGGTCGGCCATCAATAAAGATTCTTTCAACACACTATTAAATTAAGTGAAAAAAAAAAATCAAAGGAAAGCAAGTTTGCATTAACCTTCTTGGAGCAAGAGGTAAATCCACAGCTTGAATTTTCAAGGCCTGGGCCCCAGAAGTCATTTTTCTGGTGGGGTCTGGGTGGCCAGGGCAGGTTTTTTTTTTTTTTTTTTGGCTTTTTCTTTTTTTATCGGTACCGGGGATCGAACTCACGACTGCCTGCTTCCAAGGCAGGTGCTTATGCCGCTGAGCTAAACCTCCAGCCCCTTCCTCAGTGCCCAATTTCCCTGACAGGTCCATCTTGCAGTAAATAATCAACACCCATTTGTTAAGTGAAGAAGGAAGTGGCCCGGTGTGATGACACAGGCCCCCAAACCAGCTGCTCAGGAGGATGGAAAGTTTGAGGCCGCCTCAGCAGCTTAGCAAGCCACTGTCTAGAAAGGAAGTAAGGAAGCAAGCAGAGAAAGGAAAAGACGGGAAGGAGCTGGGGTCTGGGGTGGCTTGGTGGTCTAGCCTTGCCCAGCAGGCCTGAGATCCTGGGTTCAATCCCCACCACTGAGAAATAAATTAATTTCATTTAAAAAATAAAGTGACGGGTACTAGCCTGACTCAAAGTTGTCCACGAAAGGGACCCGTAGGCGGGCGTGGTGGCTCATGTCTGTAATCCCAGCACTCGGGAGGCTGAGGCAGGAGGATCCTTGCGAGTTCGAGACCAGCCTGGGCTACAAAGTGAGCCCAAGGCCAGCCCGAACTGCATAGGGACACCCTGTCTCAAAAAGACCAAAAAGAAAAAGAAAGGGGCCCGTTAGGAAACTTCTCCCTGCACCGGAAGAGAGCAGCGCAGCTCCCCTTTTTCCACCAGGAATTTCCCAGTGCAGGGGTGCTGCGTGGCCACGACGATCCCGGACCAGAGAGGCGACAAGGCCCCTCGACCCCAGGACGGCGGCAGGAGAGGGGCAGACAGGGCGCCCGCGCGGCCCCGGGGCTCGGGGTGGGGCTCGGGGCTCGGACGCGGCCCCGCGGGGTGCAGCCCCCAGCGTCCCCCTCCCCGCCCCCCGCTCCGCCCGCGCCTCCATTTGCTGCGCTCGGGGCAGGCGGGTCCCGCGGCCCGGGAAGGGACCTCTGCCGGCGGCCGGCGGCAGTGCGCGGCGTGCGGAGCCCCGGGAGGGAGGCCGGGCGGCGGCCGGGGCTTCTCCTGCAGCCCGGCCCTGGCTGGACGCCGAGGTCGCAGTGCGATCTCCAGTGTCGCGCGGACGTGTGCGCTGACAGGGGACCCCAGAGTCGCCCTGCTGGCTCTCGGCGACGTCTTCAGCCAGCCTCGCCCTCCCCCCATGCCCAGCACGCGCGGCCAGCCTTGGTCCTGGAAGAGATGCCGAAGCCTTTGGGATTTCGCTTACCGACCTCCGCCTCCGGGAGGGCCCCCTCCAGGTCTGTGCGGGTGCGCCCGCCTGGAAGGGTGTGGGGGGCGGAAACCGAGCACCTGCGTTAGAAGTTAATGAGAGAAGCATGCAAAATGCACAGAGGGCACTAAGAACATACTACAAGTCAGACTACTGGAGACACAGGTCTACCTCACAGTTATAATCACCGACTTTCATGCCAAGTCCTAGGACAAAAAGAACTTTTTTCTTTTTTTAAAGGGGGACTGGGAAAACCTTTGCACTCAGCTACACCCCGCCTCTCCCCTCTGAGACAGTCTTGCTAAATCCTTAAATCGCCGGCTGGTCTCCAGGCTGCGATCCTCCTGCCTCGGTCTCCCAGAGAAACACATTGCGCTGGCCAGAAGGAAGAACTCGGGGGGGCCGCAGAGGTAAACTGGCTTCTCGGAGTTGCTGTTTTGGAGCTGGGCCCTTCAGGAGCGGGAGAATGGGGGTTTTGGAAGATGAGGGTCATGGGCGTGGCATCTCACCTGGGAAACCTGGTGGTGGAGGTTTAAGGTGAGGTAGGGCTGGACGGGGTAGGTGGGACTGTGCCAGTGGCCTCGGGGAGCCTCGGGATTCCTCTGCACCCAGGAAGTGTGTGGTCGGGAACCAACTAGAGTTCCCTGAGCAGGCAGCCCCACCTGGGAACTTGTGTCTTTTCCTCTCTTTTATCTATTTCAATCCCTAAAAGCCACCCCTCTCTCTTTTTCTTTCTTTCTCTGTCTCTGTCTCTCTCTCTCTCTCTCCCCTCTCCATAGTAGAACTGGGTTGAATATAGCACTTTCACACCAGGTTATATCCCCAGCCCTTTTTCTTTTTAGACAGGAGTCTTGACAAATGGCTACATTGCTCTGGCTGGGTTTTGAACTCTCAATCCTCCTGTCCCAGCCTCCCAGAATGTTGGGATCACAGGTGTGGGCCAACACCCTGGGCTTCTTTCCTGAGTCCATAAACAGCCCTCCTGGGAATGCTGACATCCTCTAAGGGTTTGATGAGCCCCAGATGAGGGAGTGGAATCTGGTGGCCGGCTGGGTGGCATTCCAGGAGCAAGCTGGACTGTGCAGGTAAGTTCAGGGCAGTAAGGGCCTACAGTAGACAGGTATGGGATGTGGAGACAGTACATCAGTTGGGAGGGGGAGAGTGCTAACTAAATGCTCTTTTGAACATGCTGAGTGTCAGGATGCCATTTATGATTAAAGATCTTTTTTTTTTTTTTTTTTTTTTGTCTTTTTCATTTTTATCGGTACCGGGGATTGAACTCATGACCGCCTGCTTGCAAGGCAGGTGCTTATGCCGCTGAGCTAAATCCCCAGCCCATGATTAAAGATCTTAAATGGTTTTATTTTCATCCTACACACGAGTTTCATGTGATAACAGGTGGCACATATGTGGAGAACTTCCTCGAGACCACTAAAAGTCAGAGCTGGAGGGAGACCATCTGGGTGGGCAGGGAGTTGCCAAGTAAGGAGAGGCCAGTTCCCCGAGGAAGTCAGTGCAGGAGACAAAATTGGGGAGGGGTAGACGTTCGGAAACACACCAGGAGAACTGATTAGGGAGGAAGAAAGGAAACCTGGGGGGGGAGGCACTGATACAGAGGAGAAAGGCCTTCCAGAAAGAACCAGTGGAAGAGAACTGGCCTTGGGCACTGTTTATCAGCCCGGCCTTGAGCAGTGTTTGCCAGCCAGTTATGAACCAACCAATAGGGCAATGAAACCAGCATTTAAAAGGACAACAGGGAGTGTGAGGGGAGAATCAAGTTTTATATTATGTACAGGCACAAGTGCTCTGTGTTGAATGTGATCATTGTGTATATCTAAAATACACCAGTAAAATGATTGAAGAAAAATAAATACATAAATGGATAATAGAAACTGTCAGACTGTATCTTACATGGCATTTTAGTTACTTTTCCCTTGTTGCAGGGACAACGTACCCAACACTTAAAGTTAGAAAGGGAAAGGTTTATTTAGCTCATAGCTTGCAGAGGTTTCAATCATAATCAGCTGACTCCAAGGCAGAGTATACAGCAGAGATGCAACCATAGTTGAGGGCAGGAGAAGACAGCAAAAACAAGGAGAGAGGAAGAGAGAGAGACAGAGAGAGAGACAGAGAGACACAGACAGAGACAGAGACAGAAACAGAGAGAGACACAGAGAGACAGAGACAGAGCTCTTTTTCTGCCTTATATTGCATGTAAATCACCCTAGGGTGGGTGTAGCACTCACTTAGATGTGTAGTATGAGTTTGTGTTCTTGAAAACAATGAATTTTAGGACCAATGGAGGTTAAGAGCTGAATGTATTTACTGAGAGAAAGAAAGCTTCTGTCTGAGAGAGATAGAAGGGCACCCTTGTGAGTTACCAGGGACTCTTTCTTTTCTAGGGACTTTTTTTTTTAGGTTTTGTAATTTTTTTTATTTTAAAGAGAGTAAAACCAAGCAAAATGAAACAATAAAGCTAATCAAAGCAAAATGGTGTGATACAGGACTTCAAAACAAGATAATAGGAAATCAACAATGATTATAATAATGCCTCTTGTTGTCTTTAAAATAGCTGGAGATATCTTTAAACACAGTAAAAATCAAACAAAACACAGAATAGAACTAATAAAAACAAATCAAGGAACACAATAAAGGACTTCAAAACAAGATGATAGTAACTCCAAAATGGCTACCATAATATAGCTTGCTATCTTTGAAACAGCTGCCCATGCCATCAGATACAACGAAATCAAACAAGACAAATCAGAGTAAAACACAACCCAACAAAACAATGAGAGTGATACAGGACTTCAAAGCAAGGTAGTAGGGGACTAACAATGGCCACCACCTTCAGAAGGAGATCCCCCATAGATGCTATACTGCGTATTGTTATCCTCTGGACAGATGATCAGACTACTGGTTTTAGACCTGCAAAAGTCAGTGAAACCCTAAACACTACAAGCATTAAGTTATATTTTATCTCAATAGCTATTATCACAGCCTGTGTTTCTCTGGATCAGCCAGTCACTTACGGAGTGAGATGGGGAAGGACCTTGGCTTTTCTTGTCTTCCAACTCGTGTGCCAGAGGGGGCTGCTGTCTGGTTCTCCCCGCAGCAGTCTGCACATGGCACAAACTCACAGGGAGGGCTTGACTTCTTGTTTTCCTCCCCTGCAGCCCCCAAATGGCTCTGACTCATGGGAAAAAGTTGACATCTGGTTCTCAAGGACAGGTTCTTTCTGACTCCAAACTCACACCAGACATGTTTGATCCTTAGCATGGAGGTGGGTGGTATCTCAGGAGACAGACTGTCTTCTGTTTATTTCAAGGTCCCTTTTTATAGCTTGTATCTAGATGTCCCTCCAAAGCCTCAAGTGCTTGCCTTTTCTAGGGACTTTTATAAAGCAGAACCACGAAGTGAGGCAAGCCCAAGGTGGGGAAAATGTGGGAACTCACAAGGTGGGCATGAGATGGGATGGAACTGTGGTCACCTGGTAAGATTAATTGTCCAGGTAAAATTGATTAAACTGGGTACAAATGGGGAAGTGAGCCCCTTAGCAAGCAAGCATGAATACAGAACAACAACGCTTCCTGTAGGGGGCTGGGTGGTGACTCCTGGCTTCCTCAGGGTGATAGAGACCTATTTAGACTATCAATTCCTTTTCCTTTTTTTTTTTTTGTCTTTTTCCTGAAGTTTATCCTAGGAAGTATGTGGGTGCATTTATTTACCTTTTGTCTTGAGGCCTTGTCCACAGTGGAGGTGTCTGTCTCTCTCACAGTTGCAAGGTATCTCATCCTCTGCACTGGCTCCTTTGTGGGCTAGCCCTGTCTGACTGCCTATATTTCCATCTACTTCAGCTGCCTATAACACCAGCATTAGACCACAAGCCAGTCACAAACTAGATTCAACCACCTCTGAAAAGCCAGCCCCCATGATCACATGAGGCTTTAGGGGGACATCCAGACACAAACCATAACACGTGCAAAGATGGAATCCTGAAACTGTTTGGAGAGAGCAGATACTATCCTACAGGCCTCTTGCCAAAATATGTATATGTAACCTCAGTTCAGTCATGAGACCACATCATACAAACTGAAAGGGAGGAACAAAGTAGCCTTTGAGGGGGTTAAGTGAGTCAAAAGATGGAGGCTCAGTCACAGGAGGCAGGAGACAGGATAGCTAAACACATTATGGAATTGAGGGTAGGATCCTGGGCCTGAAAATTCGTGTGTTTAGTTTGGTTGATTCCACCTGCCCTTGTTAATGTCTTAGTTATAACAATCCTACTGTGATGGCAGAAGATGCTATCATGGGGGAAAGCTGGATGAGGTACGTGTGGAAATTCCCTTGTTATCGTCACCACTTTTCTGTAAGTCTAAAATTAGTTGTAAATAAAAAGTTTAAAAGGGAAGAAATGTGGTTTTGTGTGTGTGTGCATCGAGGGGTTCATGACGTGAGATAAGCCTCAGCCACGTCCCTCAGATGCGGAGAGGGCAGCTAGGCAGGCAGGGGGCCCGGGGTCCTGGACTCTCTAGGTTTTGCGAGTTTGATGGGAGAATGAGAGGCTGTGGGTAAGACTTTGAGTCAGAGTTGTTGCATTTAGCCTTATCATGGTATATCCCGGCCAGCAGATCCAGCCCCCCCTTCTGCTGCTTGATAGAAGCTGTGGATTCCCAGAAGGGAGGGAAACCCCGGCCCAGGAAGTCTTGAGGGGTAGCCCCTGCGGTTGTCAAAGGCCTCATGGTGCTACCCTGTTACAACCTAACACAGCAGGTTTGGGGCATAGTTAGATGCGGGGAAGAGAGCCTCCTATGGAGGGAGGAGCTTGAGAGGTGCTATTGCTTCTATTTTGGTGGGGGAGGGGAGCCAATGTCACCTCTAAGTCACAGGTTTTCCAAGTCATAAAAGCCCTCTTTCACCAAGAATCCTTTAAGCAACCTGGAGGAGTGAAAGGTCCAGTGATGTCACTGCTTCTGACAGCCACCTTGCTGCCTTGCAAATGGATGGGGTAGAACAGTACTTCTCAAGTGGGGGTGACTTTGCCCCTCACCCCCCAGGAGACACAGGCAATGCCTGGAGACTTTTTCAGTCATCACACTGGAAGACCAGTGTGTGTGTGTGTGTGTGTGTGTGTGTGGCCGGCCTCTTGGGATGGGGCTAACCATCCTGCTCTGCACAGGGTCACTTCCTCCACCTGGTCCCAGATATCATTATGACAAGCTGAGGAGCCCCGAGTTAAAGGAGATGAAAATCTGTTTATGGTCTAGAAAGTTGCCTGAGTGCTTTTCACAAAAGAGGGTAGTCAACTTCTTCTTGGCTTGATTTCAAGTGGATAATTACAACCTGCCTGCGTAAAATTTACACTTTAATTTTCAGTGGGTATCGTCTCTCTTCATGCTTAAACAGGCTGAGTGTGGCTGTATTCTTAACAGCAGGGAAGTATCCTACGGCTGGATTGGCTCCAGGTTGACCAGGGGTTAAACAACTGGTGTGCAAAGTGATTTGAAACCATCAAGGATAAAAAGCACTAAAACTAGAAACCAGGGACATTATTCTCATTATTAATTATTAGTGCTATTACAGTGCTTATCCGGCCACTCAGGGTTCCCACAGGATTCCGATGGGTACTAAGGTCAAAACAAGACTCTCGCTGTCAGTGTGAGCAGACCCTGCCTGGAATTAATCTGTTAGCCATTAAAAGCAGAGCTCCCTCTCTGTGCAGGTCCCCGCAGCTCTAGTGCCGGCGAGAGGCTTGGCACTGGCAGCCCTGAGCTTCAAAGCAAATCTCCAACCTTCTATTTGTACTCCCTGTTCCCTTATTTAGAACGGAGTAGCACATACTTGTCCGCTGCTGCAAGGCAAGAACAAATTCTGGAGGTATTAAATAGTCTCACTTCAAGCAAACCAGAGCCTGCAGTAAGTTAAGGACAATGCCCATCTCTCCTTTCCCTTCCGTCTTAAAGATTATAGTAATTTTAGAGTGGCAAAATTTAAAATCGGAAGACAGGCTTCGAGCTCATTGACAAACTGAGTGGTTATCATTTGAGAAGCCACACACGTGTCTTTAAAACCTGATTTGGTCCCCCCCCCCCCACCTTTCTTTTTTTAAACAGCATTTAAATGTTAAACAAGCTTAGACAGCCAAAGACGTGCAGCAGGCATACAAGAAGTAGGTTTAAATATTTTTTATTTTTGGCAGGCTTGTTAATTTTCCCAGGATATCCGTCTTTAGAAAGACAGTTTCGACTTCATCTTTAATAACCTGAAGTTTTGGCAAAGTGCGACCTGAGGGATTTCCATACCTGTTGTCTCTGTTTGCCATGTCTTTAAATAGGTTTGGAATGAAAGCTCTCCTGGCCCGATCCTCCTGGGCAAATGCTGCTTTTCCTCTGTGGAGAAGATGCCACCGACTTCGATTCATTTTTGACTAGCCAGCTTCCCCACACCTTCTCAGCCAGGCCCTCAAAAATGTGTATTGGGAAGCTGCTGGTGAGATGAGCGGTAGAAATTTTAGCCCAGGGGCAGAGTGTGTCTTGCAAAGCTTGTCCTGGACAGAGCCTGAAACCTAGCTCCCCTGGGAACGCTCACAGTAATGACAGTAGGTGCCAATCTGAGTTCCAAGGTTCTCTATGGAACAGCCATTGCTTCCTGAGGAAGGTGCTAATGGTTTCTTTGTGTGTGTGCGTGTGTGTGTGTGTGTGTGTGTGTGTGTGTGTGTGTATGTGTGTGAGAGAGAGAGAGAGACAGGGTCACTCTATGCAGTTCAGGCTTGCCTTGAGCTCACTTTGTAGCCCAGGCTGGTCTCAAACTTGCAAGGATGCTCCTGCCTCAGCCTCCTGAGTGCTGGGATTACAGGCGTGAGCCACCACGCCTGGCCTCTTTTTTTTTTTTTTTTTTGGTACCAGGGATCAAACCGGGGATCAAACTCATGACCTCACACTTGCTAGGCAGGCGCTTATGTCACTGAGCCAAACCCCTGGCCCGGAAGGTGCTAATGTTGCCCCTGTTCTATAGCTGAGGAAATGGGACTCCAGGACTCAGGTACTTTACCCAAAGTCTTAGAGCTGAAAAGCACTGGAATTTGAAACCAGTCATCTGTCACCAGCGGCTTCACTCTTGACCTATTTCCAAGAAATGTGATCTTAAAAAATAATTCATCATGGACTGGTATAGTGGTGCATGACTGTCCTCTCAGCACTCTGGGAGGCTGAAGCAGGAGGATGCATGTTCTAACACAGCCTGGACAACTTAGTGACTTAGTGAGACCTTCTTAAAATAAAAAATAAACAGGCTTGGACGTGTGGCTAAAGCTCCACTCGAGCAAATTTGGTGTCCCAAATGATTGGTTTATTTTCCTTCTTCCTAAGCTGCATTCAGACAGTGGGGTGTTTCGGGGCTTTTTCTTTTTCTACACCTTCTGTGCAGACATGCAGTGGGCGTCCTCTGATTGCACTGCTCAGAGCGCTTCACTCGTGGCTATGTCTTGGGAACTAAGCGGAGGGCAGTAACCCTAAGCTAACTGTGGAAGGCAGACTGGAGTTTTTCCCTTGAACGAGAAAAATATTTGTTACCTCCTCACCTGGGATTCTGACCTCAGACGCCTACGGGAGCCAGCTGTAAATTTTAAGGATAAAGGGGCGTGAGAAGCCGTTTCTGTGGATTTTGAAGAAAGCTGACAGGGTGAAGCACAGCCCTCGTGGTTTCCACAGAATTCTGGTATCAGTGTGACCCCTGAGTCCTCCCTTCTCACTGTCCTCCGGGGGCAGTGGGGTAGGAATGACCAGCAAATCACCGCGTTCACTGATGTCCACGGGCATAAGCACAGCCTTTTTGCATGAAATAAAAAGGAAGCAGTTTGCTAACACAGAGATAATTCTGTGGTTATAAGACACGCAGCAACTTGTTGGCAGGGCCCGGGAGGCCCTTTGAAATTGGTTCCCAGTCTCCTTTCCACGCCCACCACCTGTCCACTGCTACACAGGATGTCCTGCACCCCCTTATTCCAGCTGGGTAACCTGCAAGCCACAGCCATGCTCTGGAATCCCAAGAACAATTTTCCTGCTTTCTCTAGCCTACAGCTTGGGAATTCAGGGGTTACAGGAGGATGACCCCCTTCATACGTCCATAACACTCTGGGTTAACCCCCAGGTTCTTCACATTGCTGTGTCTTATCTTATGCCTCCCACTGTCATAGATGGGACCTTGGATTGGATTATGGGGTGTGTAGCCTCTTTGCTGCTAGGAGGTGGGGTCTCAGAGGAGATGAATCACCAGGGTGTGGTCCTGAACCATTTAGCTTCCTCCCTGACTCCTTTCTTGAGGTCTTAGTTTTCCTCCTGGCCAGGTCTTTCCCCCACAGCTCCTCCTCTCTGGAGCCAGGGGACTGTGGATTGAAATCTCTAGCAACTCTCCTCCTCCTTTAATTTGGGGTATCGGCTAATTACGCCTTCTCAGTGAGGAGAGTGACTAAGTCTACCACGTTCATTCATTCTGGTTGATGTCGGAGCAACCTATCCGCTGCATGAATGACAAAATTTTTCGGGAAAGGAGTCAACTTGAAACACAAGTTAGAATATTGGTGAATATTGAAGGTCTGGGATGAGCTGAGCTGGAAAAACCCCGAGCCTGTGTCTGAGGCCAGCTGTCCTGTTTGGGGGCCGTGGTCACTGAGCCAGTTCACCTACAGATTCTTTTTATTCTCCACTTTCCAATGCTGTGGGCAGCTCGGCCAGCTCCTGTGGTAGTCAACAAGTCCCGGTAGGTGAAAACATTGATTTTCCTTGGCCGTGATGGTATGGAAGAATACAACCCAAGGAGCCACTGGTGTCTTCAATGGAAGGAGGGATGATTCTTCTCCCCTGTGGCATCATGAATAAGGCAAGGACACTTTATGTGGTGCTTTGGTCGCCCACAGCTGCCCCTGGGCCCCTGCGATAGCTATCTGCTTACCTTTTGTAGGGGTACAGGGTACTTTAATCCTCATGATACAGGCATGGCTGTGATGGTGAGAGACTGTCCTCTGGGCAGCTCTGTACACAAGCAGAGGACAACATAACTGCTCCCTCCCTCTCCTGCCCTCAAGCCTGTCCCCGGAGGGACTTGCAAGCTGACCACCTGTTAACCTCTCCTAACACATCATGTTTGTTGAGTGACACAGGTCCATCTTGATCTCGGAAGAAAGTCCCCAAGGTCTGTATCGCAGGATGAATGGGAACCTCTGGGCAGCATCAGATCAGGATGGAAGCCCAAATCACTGGTACGCTCTTGGCTGTGCACTGGCTCAGCGCCCTCCCGAGGCTTCCCAGACCCTGGCTGTGGAATTTTATCCTCCAGTTTGGGGAGGGGTTACTCATTTCCTTCTGGGTTCCAGTCAAGTGTAAATACCTTAAGCTGTTGTC